TTATTATTATTATTATTATTATTATTATTATTATTATTATTGTTATTATTATTATATTTCAAACTACTGAGTTTCTGCACCTGTTCAAAGTTTATGCCTCCATAACAGAAATGCTCTTTTAAATTTTCTAATATGAAAAATGACAGAAATTAAATATAATACTTCTTAAGTTTGAACTCACATTTATCTACAAATGTACAAGAGTCTTTCTAGCTTAAGGGAGAATTGTGGCCATTAAAGTGAATTATAGATGACAGAGAATAAATGTGTTTATGTTCCAATCAGCAGGATTTCTTCAGGAGTCGCTGTGAGTTAACGAGTTAAATTTAAGCTGTAAATGATCAAACAATTAATTTTTTATCAATTAAAGCAATGTCAACACAGATGATCAACTCCAATGTAAAGATTTTTCCACACTGTCCATGTAGAATAAAAGATCCTGTTTTCTGCTTGCTGAGGAGCTTTTTCCGGACTGTGGCTCCCCCTGCTGGTTACACTACACATAGCAGTCCCATCTGAACAGTACTCTGGTGTTTTTGCCAAAGTTAACATTTCATTCATCTCCACTTTTCTAATACTTTGAATCAATAAAAACTGTCATCATTTCATATTCCTGTCTTTTTTTCTCTTTGATCCACATTCTGAAAAACACATTTCAGCTTTTGGTTTTCATGGAGGAAGGAGACTGAGGTCACGTTTCGCTCGGCAGAAAAGGATTTGTAACAACTTAAGGATGAGCAATAAATATTTCAAGCTTGATATGAAGCTTAATGTTGGTCTGGATGAAGACGGCCTGATGGTGGCGCTACCGGACTGCGTCCAGCCATGACTCCAGGTCGTTAGATCCAAAGTCCTGCTGATGTCTGGAAATCAGTTTGACTTGATTTATTTTTAAAAGTCTGAGTCTGATGGAAAAACATGACAGGAAACAGAGAGGATGTCAGCAAACACAAACAGGAAGTGAATGTGGAGCAGATGGAGAAGAACCGGACAGTTTCAGTCTCACAACAAAACCCAAGAAAACATCAAATCAGCTCAAAGAGGAAATCCTGAGAGACCTGCTGTAGAAGAGTTAGAAGGATGGACTAGTCTGGGCTGAATTTAGATGCATTCTACACTTTTCAGATTTTTCCCTTTTAAAAGTCAGTCTGATTTCAGGCTGGTTTATCTTCACTGTTTCTGATTGAAACGGGAAAATGGGAGGAACATGCGCGGATACGTCTGCTGATCAACTTCTGTTCACTTTTACCAGAGGAAAGTCATTATACCTGGGAGGTATAATGACCAGCTGTCATTATACCTCCCACTGCTCCCAGTTCTTGATGGTTTGGGTTCAGTTATGTTCCAGAGGTTTCGGTCAAAGTATTGAAGTTGACCTGCCTCCTGAGTCTGGAGAGAAAAGACAAAGCTGTTAATAATGAATAACTGGAGAGCAGTAGAGAAGCAAAGGGAGGCATGGTCAGCCAGCACTGAAAATAATGAACAGCTGATTCAACTTAAATATATATACTATGTTAACTGGTTACAAGTAATCAAGTTAATTTATGAAGTTTATTAAAGGGGCAGTTTTATGTAAAATCATTTTATCTTTAAATCATGTATTAATGTTTTTCTATGGAGTATTGCTTTGATGTTTGAGAAATCCTTTAATCTCCATGGCAACCATTCAACTGTTAAAACACCTGAGTGGACTTAGCCCTACCTTCGAGGCGCAGCTCCTCCGCCACTCAGCTCCTTCAGCCTAGCCAGCAGCAATTAGCAAACATCTGGTGAGCTCATTATAGGAGCTGCTGCACAGAGCAAGGCTGGCAAAAACATTAAAGGGTTAACAGAGGAGCCATGTTGGGATGACTTTCTGGAGGCAGAGCTGCAGAAAGAGCAGGAATTTTTAAGAGACAGAGGCCCAACTTCAAAGAGTTAAATTAGGAATTAAAATTTATTTAAGTCATATTTTTATAACTCAAGGTAACACAGTTAGTTGATTGTGAATGTCGATGTGACTGGAAAACACACGATGCTGCTCCTTTAAGAAGTCAAGTTAAACAAATGCAGATCAAATAAGTTTGATAAACTTCATTTAGTTACTTGTGACCAATTCATTTATTTTCAGTCTCCAGCAGTGTAACTACTGCAGCCGGTCCACCAGATTAATAAAAGTACAGCTTTAACCTCAGCCGGTTCGGTTTAAAGGGGAAACCAGATTCCTGGTCCGGATTCGGAATCTGAATCCTGCAGGAGAAGAGCTGACAGAATCCGGTGGGTCAAACAGCAGAGGAGAGGGTCCGATCGGTTCTGATGGGTCTCTGATGTCTGCGGCAGCCGAACCTAATCCGAACAGCGTCTCCAGATTTCCTGGTTCCTCCCGTCGCCCCTCCTTCTTGAGGCTGGATCAGCTTCAGGCTGCAGCAAAGGAGCAGAACCAGAACCAGCGCAAAGGAGCAGAACCAGAACCAGCGCAAAGGAGCAGAACCAGAACCAGCGCAAAGGAGCAGAACCAGAACCAGCGCCGCCGCTCTGCTGAAGCCTTCACAGTAAGTCTTCTTCTCTGTTTCCTTCATCTTCATCATGATGGGTCTTCATGCTGCTGCTGGTCTGGTTTAGAGGAGACCCGAAGCCCGAAGCGGCTTCAGCTCTTCGGAATCAAACAAATTCAGCCTGAAGCACCTTGAGAGACGCGGCTGTTCTGATTTCACTGAAAACCTTCAAATTATAGATGAACTCTGAATTTAATTTATCAGTTAACCTGATCACCATCTGCATGAAAACCGGAAAGAACTTTTTATGTTTTCACATTTTATTCCAAATGTTTGCGACCCTGACGGTCTGCTGATAACGCCAAGAGTTACTGATTAACTCTCACAGCGGGATCTACAGGAGGTTCTGCACCACGCAGTCTGTCAGAACCACCAGGAAGAGTCGGAACAATCAGAACATTTGAACATTTAAAATCAGCCAAAGAAAAGATATAAAAACATACAGAGATCAATTAATAATCAATCTCAGGTCAGTTTAACGTGATGATCGGAGTCCCCTGAGAGTCTCAGCCGGAGACCCGCTTAACGAAACAACAACGAACTAAATGTTCATGTTCATTGTTTTACAATGTTGCTGTTGTTTTGTTTTTGGTTTTTTTTAGCTGCGTTCAGGTTTGTAGATCACAATTCTTACATTTATTTCCATGCCGGAAATAATAAAATGTTGAAGTCAAAGGTGTGATGAACTCAGTCAGAGGGACGATGTTTGAATTTCAGTCTTAAAGCCTAAAAAAGCAGGAAGAGGAGACCTTCCAAACCGGAACTCTACAGAGGCTTTTAAAAGCCATGGGATTGTTCTGCTGACAGCAGAGAACGAGGAGAGGCGACAAACTGAGTCCAAAGTACTGTCTGAATTCAGATGTGGTGGGATGGTGTTCCACCCTCCCCCACTCTGTGCAGGTGCAGCTAGAAGCGCACTGTTGATTGGTGGGCGGGGCAGATGCCTTTATAGTTGGGCCGGCCGCTGCAAGGTGCGTGTGTCTTTGTTTCTCCCACTGTTGCTACAGTCGGCGGCTACATGTTGGCTTGTGTGTTTGATCGGCTCGTCTGCGATCGTAAGTGCTCGTTTTGCTATCTGTGGCTGGGATCATGGTTGGTTTTTGGGTGCTACACCTATTGTGCAGTGTTGCCCTGATGGCGTTGCCGGCTGCAGCTGGAGGTTGCTGTGGCGTGCGGCTTCCATCTGGTCCTCACCTGCTGACCTGCTTCCTCCCGGGTTAGGCTGTGTTTCCACCCCTGGGCACCTGATTGTGTTTGGAGCTGCAGCGCTTTGGACGCTCTGCTGTCTTGTCTTGCCATTGTTTGTTTGAGCCGCTCTCAACTAAACCTGTTGCTGGTTGGGCAGGTTGTGTGTGTTCCATTCTTTGAAGTGTTTCCTTTTACAGTTTGTATATGTTGTGTGTTATTGAAGTTACTAATTTTCTTTTTGTTTTTACTAATTTCTTTTGCATTGCATGTTTTATTTCTTTTGTAATAATTGACCTTGTCCGTCCTTTATGTGTTCCCTTCTGTTCCAGGGACCAAGTAGTAGGCCTGAAGCCTCGTTTTTACTAAAAGAAATGTTTTAAGGAAATTGTTTAATAAAATATTGTGCACTGCTTAGTCTGTGTATGGGTGCATCTGGTAACTTTTAAAAAGATCTCCACCTGCTGGTCACACAAAAAAGCCATTTCTGCTCCTGTTCTGACCAGCATCATTGCCCTGATGACCTCATCGCTCCAAACAGCTAGCCTGCTGCTACGTTGGCGAGTCCAGTGGTCAGGCTGTGTTTATCGTTCTGCTGGTGACCGAGCTGCAACTGAACTCAGGTTTTACTCCAGAGGAAGTCATGAAGCTTCACTCCTGCTTCATGGGAGACAGGAAACTAGTCCAACCAGTTTGAGAGCATCCAGGAAGTGTTGCTCCTTCTTAATCTGGTTGCCATCCAGATGAAACGGATTCTGCGCTGACGATGCTCTGATAAGGAACTGTTTCCTGTTGATACAGGAAGTTAAATCACCTGGAACTGATTACTCAATAAATAAAAGCATGGCAGAGGAGAATCTGAATGATAATCGATTAAAGAAATGTTGAAATGATCTTTTAATGGAGGCTTTTTTCCTGCAGCTTAAACCTGAGCTGCAAACCTCAACAAATCAAAGTGCTTTACACTTAAAAACATTACAAACCAATTATGAAAACAAACTTTACATTTAATCAAATGCCCATGTTCAATGTTTTTACATTTCTCAGTTATGTTTGAAACAATTATTTTTCTGAAAATGAAAACCTGCAGATGTTTGGTTTGAGATAATGAAACATTTTATTTAGTTATATATATAAATACTAAAGAAAATGTTATATATGCCTATATAATTTTGGAGGACTGATGGCCGTACTGCGCAGGGGACAGACACTCAGTTTCAGCCTGTTTTTACACAGCTCTGTAGTGAAACATTGGTTACCATGGAGACGTGGGGAATTAACGGGGAGCCGGCCCTAATGGAGCCCATAGGTCGGGCTGAATGCCACCAGACCTCAGGGGGTTTTGCTACATATGATCGCCTCTGATTTTGCCTTCGGTTCCTCTGCAGCTTCACTCCTGTCTCACTTTTCTCTCTGAGATTTGCACAAATGTGCTGTGTGCGCAGAGCAACGCGAGTGTGTGAAATGTGCGTGTGGGAGGCGGTTCGGGAGCTAATGACAGAGTCCAGAACCGCCCCCACCAGTCCGCCTCATCGCTGTGTGTTTTGCAGGTTCTGCTCTCCTGTCCCCGCCGGCCGCAGAGAAAGGATGGTGGCCGACATCATGAACTCCGCTGGGTCCGCGGGCCGCCGCTGGAGCCCATTCCGCAGCATCAAGGTCGGTTTGGGTTCAGGGTGGAGCAGCAGACGCTGCTGACATGATGGATGGTTGGTGGAAACCAACATTCCCTGTGTGGAAATGCACCGGCTTCTGTTCTCTCTCCGTTTAAATCAATCCTTTTCTGACTCAAGTCAGTTTGGATTAACGAAATTTTGAATCTAAGAAAGATTCGTCTTTTTGAAAGTGTGACGTTTAAGGATTACTCGGGTAAGATCAAAACAAAACCCTGATTATGATGAGGTTTTCTTAAGCTTCTGATTAGTTAATTCAGAATATTTGAGTTGATTCATGTTAATGCTTATTTTTGTGACGTCATAGAAAATTAATGTTGAGGCTTGAATAACATTTTTAATCTTGTTAATTTCAGGCTTTGTAATTAATTAAAAACCAAACATTTTAATCAAAAAACAAAATAAGCAAAAAAATTTTAGTTCAAAACTCATTTTTGCTGCTAAATTATTAAACAAATATATGAGCTCAACATTTTTAACCAACAGATTGAAGCAAAGTTCTGTTCCAAGAGCGCATGAAAGTAATCAAATTACAATCAGCTTAACCAATCAGACAGCAGGTCAGACTGCCGTCCATTGTAGCATTAAAGTATTCAAGTAGAGGAATCTTCATCAGCACAGACAGAGTGTCTGCAGGGTCTGCATGAGATAAAACAATTCAATTATTGCTGCAATATTTGAACAGCATTTGTTTAAATGCCTGTTTAAAGTTGTTGGCATGTCCAGAAGATGTGGAGGAAATGAAAGGAAGCTGGACTGTTGTTTAGCAGAAGCTGCTTGTTTATCCACTGAAACAGAGCAGCGGTTCTTAGTGGTTAGAGCCTAAAAACCCTGGATATCCTGGAGGAATCCTGCTGCTTCCTGATGTCTGCATTAATCCATCCAGTCATCGTTCTGTTCATGTGAATGTGAAGGTTTCAGGTTTAAAGACCCAGGACATTTTGTTCCTGTTTTCAATCTGAAACTCTTGGTCCAACCTCCCACCCTTTTCCATTTTTCTTCCGCTGCCGGGGTTTCCTGGAATGAAAAAAAAACGTATCCAGGGAGGCCTGGTGGTTTGCAGAGAGGGGAGGGAAATCTGGAGTGGATCAAGACTTTCCTGAGCTCTTTTGTTGGAGCAGAGGATGAAAAAGCTGCCATGTTGTCTTTCCTCTGCCTGTAGGTGTTTGTGCTGTGCCACAGTCTGCTGCAGCTGGCTCAGCTTCTTGTGTCAGGCTACATGAAGAGCTCCATTTCCACCATCGAGAGGCGCTACGGCCTGTCCAGCCAGAAGTCCGGGATCCTGGCCGCCTTCAACGAGGTCAGTGGCACAGCTGGAGAGCTTCTCCTCGATTCAAACTCAAAGGTCTCATGATGATGATAGATGGAGTCCGAGCATTGAGCCGCTCCAGCACCGAAATGTTACAAAATAAAATCTGAGGCAACAGCAGCAGCAGGTCAAAGGTCAAAGTATACACCCTACTTGGACTTTTCCACATTTTGTTCTGTTCCAACAACAATCATCAGTGAGTTTCATTTGAACCAAACAGAACAATAAGAACCTGATAAATGGGTTTTATTTCAGATAGTTCAAAGTGCCATTACCACATCCTACAGTGATCACTCACTAAACGAGCAATAAACATTTAGTTAAACGCCATCATCACGCAAATACACATCAAATATGTTGACTTTATTGCTAATCACCTCTGACCAGGTGAGGTTTTAGCCTTGATTTAAAGGAGCTCATTGTTTCGATTGCTTTGCAGTTTTCTGGAAGTTTGTTCCAGATTATGACCTTCACAGTTATTCTCCCCTCTGCTGCGTCTTCCTGTCCTTCACCCGTCCCTCTGCTCTCGTGTCCAGGTGGGGAACACCGTCCTCATCGTCTTTGTAAGTTTCTTCGGCAGCCGCGTCCACCGGCCGCGGTACATCGGGGGCGGAGCTCTGCTGGCGTGCTTGGCCTCGCTGCTGATGGCGGTGCCTCACTTCCTGAGTGGACACTACATCTACACGGACATGATCACCAGTAAGAACCGCGCTCTGACCTCTCATCCAGGCTGGACCTGAACATTTCCTCCTGAGACAGAGGTTTGCTTTGCCGCTTGAGGGTGAGCCTGTCTGTTTCCCTACAGCGTCCACCAATAACAAGTCCGGCCTCTGCTTCTCCTCGTTGCCCTCCAACCAGACGTGCCACAAGAAGGACAGCGACACCCAGTGGGCCGTCTACCCGCTGCTGCTGCTGGGCCAGCTGCTGCTGGGTATCGGCGCCGTTCCCATCCAGCCCTTCGGCATCTCCTACATCGACGACTATGCCAGTAGGAGGAACTCTCCGCTCTACCTTGGTAGGAGACCAAAAATAAATCTTAACCCAGTCAAGAACCACGTAGCCTCTGTTCTTAATGCTGGGCAAATTTAACAAGCTCAGAGTGTTTTCGTTTCTACAAAATAAACTCTCGTGCATGAACTGGTTTCTTCTAACGTTGGTGCTTCGTTGAGAGTCGACACCCGTTCCCTCCAGTTTGGGGAACCCAGCATGCATCGTCAGCGGTTGGTGTAACACAACAGGGTAGCAGAGCGCAAGATGGGCTTTGTTTGCATATCTTCCTTTAACTTGGCAATCTGCAGTCTGGAGAACAGACCATTTAACTGATCACCAACAAAGTGTTCACTCTTACTGCCAAGAACAGAGAGACTGAAGTCACAAAACAACAGAGAAGCTGATAACTCTGACCAGCGATAATGGAGCCAGTGGTAGATTTGGTTTGTGTTATGGAAACATTCAACACTGGTTCAAGAACTCGGACTCCAGACTGCGTTGGTGGAAATAGCCTCTCGCTGTGCTGTTAGCACATTGTTGGTTCTAAGTGGCTGGAGAACAGGAAAGATCAGACTGACAGGTTCAGGTTCCCAGAGATCAAACCATGGCCCTTCACACGGATCTCGTGTCAGAGACGTGAGATCCGTGTGAGCTTCTTTCAACGAGAAGCTGAAAGCCGTCCAGGAAATCACTGAGCTGTTCACTGGAATCCAGTAATATCTGTAATGAACTCCTGAAGACGTCACTGAGACGCTGCAGAGACAAGTTCAGCCTCAATTTGAAAGACAAACAGCTGTTTCCTTCTGCCGTCCCATCATGCCTCAGAACTTCTGTCTAGTTTCTTCTGGACCAGATTCTGGACAAAGTAGTCTCTCTCTGTGCCGTTGAGCTCAACCAGGTTTCTAGTGAAATGTTGCCTAATCATCATGAGGGTAGTTCAACATTATACAGACAAACAAAATATTTATTAATCTGTCAGTCTAGTCAAATAGCAACACTGATTAAAATAAACATAATTGTGGAACTGCAGCCCCTCTGCTAATCTGACTGACCTACTTTAACTGGTTTCCTGGACCTGAATCTGAATCCCAGATTTAAATCTCACCAGTTCTTCTCTGCTCAGCTGAAACTCCTTCATAGCAACTTGATGTTCTGATTCTGACGAATGTTCACACCCAAATTAAAAACTCAGGAATCAGAATGCATGAAAATACACAAATACACCAACAAACAGAAAATTTGCTGGTTTCCATCTGGGATCCATGAGCAGCAACATGCCAGGTCTGTAACATTTCTTCAAATGTTATTGGGTATTGGTTATAAACAAAGTTCTGAGTCTGAACTGATATGTTTCTGGTGCTGATTGACTCAAAGCACTAAACAGAGGTTTAATTGTTTCTGTTTTTCTCTGACGTTTTGCTTTGATGTGTTGCAGGTATCCTCCTTGCCATGACCTCCATTGGCCCGGCGCTCGGCTTCGTCACCGGATCCTTCCTTCTGCGCTTCTATGTGGACTTTGACAAACTGCCCAGAGGTGAGGATTCACTCTACTGACGGGTCCCAGCTGGACCAAAACACAGACAGTTCACTTGTTTAACATTAGCAAACAAAAGGGAGGACTTCCTGTTTGACACAGACGCTCAAAGTGAAACAGAGGAATGGATGCGGGTCACTCACCAACTGACTGCTAAAACTACCAGGAGCAAAACATAGATGATTAAAGTCAAATGTACGCCCTTTAGGGAACTCATTGTTTCCTTTTTCTACAGAAGTTATATTTGTCACTGGGGAGTTGGCAGGAAATATGAGAACAACAAACATCAATTTGAACCCAGGAGCCTTTAAAAGCTCCAACCCGTTTCCTGGAATCCAGCAGTTCCTGAAGAAAACAGTGACTTCCAACAAGGATGCTCCACTTTTAGTTCAGCGTTTGAGCCAGACGTGCAGCAGCAGCGCTGAAGCCTTGGGGTGTTCACTGCAAAAAAAACATAAGAAACAGCAGGAGCCAGAGAAAATAAACCCTTCAGGATTTCACAGACCAAGCTGCTGGCAGGGACCGGCATTCAGTTACAAATATCTACGGCTTGATTTCAGAACCAATGAAAGCTTCACACTTTGCTGCGGGTGCAGATAGTAAAGGTCAGAGGTCACTCAGCAGGATGCTACTTTTATCTCAACAGGAGGCATTTCCTTGCTTCTTCAAGCCGCTTTACAGCTGAAAGATAAAAACACTTCATTATTCAGTAAATATTCATTCAGCAGCTAGCAAGAAAAAAAAAGCAATGCAATTAAATCCTTAATGCTCAGAGACTGCGCTAAAGTAAATCAGTATTTAAACATGTGAGCTCAGATTCAGCAGGGATACAAGCAAACTGTGGGTTCAGGAAATAAAAACTTATTTCAATAGATTTTAATTTAGCTGTTGTGATCTTCAGATTGTTGTTCGCTCAGGTGCTGCTCCAGTTTGACATGTTTGTGATTAACAGATCTACAGTTGGCAGACCTGTCTGAACAAAAGCATATTTTTTCATACGGGGTGTGTGTACAAGAAAGACAAGATGTTGCAACTCTGATTGTGTGTGGGTAGTGCTCAGTCATCATAAATCAAGACTTTGCACCAATTCAACTCAGTTCAAAGGTTTTCATAATTAAGTTGTAAAAGAATCTGGTCAACAATTAAATGTACATTCTCCAATGAATTATCACTCATCAAATATTAAACCAGGTCATTTTTACATTATTTTAGTTTCCTACCTTTTTATTTTAGGAAAGAACCTGGCTCCTATCTCTGCATATTATTATTATAAATGATATTTAAACTCAGTGGAGGACTGCAGGAAACAGAGCCAACATCATTCTGGACCTTTTAACCTGAAAGGGAGTGAACATACTTTTAATGTTTAACTGAAAGTAAACTCGCATGTCTTTTACTTCCACTTTGAATGTGAGGACACATTGAATCATTGAAACAACGTCTTTTCAACATTTCTATTTCTTCATTTTTATTTTAGCAGCAGAGGCTCATGTAGTTCTAACTTCATCTTTCTGAATTCTGAATCCTTCATTGGCTTTTTATATAATCCTTAAAGTGAAATTAATCCCCAAGCCAACTTGTTTTTTGCTGATTAACTGTCTAAATATCATTTAGACAGTCTAAATGTCTAAATGACATTTAGACAGTCTAAAGGGACTGTCTAAATGTCAAAAGTATGGTTTTGACATTTTGACAAAAGTTTTATTTAAGTTGCATTTTGTGTTTACTCTGCTATATACTGACTGGATTTTGGCCATAATAAATTTTTTCCATTAAAGCCCAGATGAAGAGACTTTTGTAAAAGAGATTAATAATCTCAATAGATTTCAAGGAAACAAGTAAAATAAAAAAACTGAAGTAGCTAACATGCTTCATGCTGCTTGTTAGATGCAACCTAAATATTTGAATGTAGTAAAAAAAATGGATCCATTTTAACTAGCTACAATATCAATAGGCTAAAAAATTATTTGCTACATGAAATGTCTGAAACAGAGAGTAAAATGAGAAACAGTTTTAGATGGTTTAGCAGTTGTTAACTATAGAGAACACAGGCATTTTCTTTTCTCCAGCAATATGGTCAAAACATTTCTTGAAGTTCTTCACAGTTGGTAAACCATTAAGCTCACAAAAACAAATGATTATTGTTTTGTAAGCATGTCATGACTTCCTGACATCTGCAACATGGAGGAAGGAGCGGAAGTTGTTTTCTAAACAAGGCGAGAAGAAGAGATGCAGTTATCTGCTGCAGCCACACAGGCAGACCCACTAGATGTTATCAAGCGCACCCAGTGGAATGCTGTGATTCTATTGGCTGGAATGGTTGCTAGGTGACGGTACTCCTTGATCCCCAGAGAGCAGAAAATAACTTGCAAGCAAGCAGAAAGGTTTGCGAGCGCAGATTTGATCCATGCAGAGAGAAAGTTTGCACGGGAGGAGAAAATCTGAGGGAGAACAGAGAATATTTGAAAGAGAGCAGAAGTTTTGAGCGCAAGAATTACAAGTTTTGAGAGCAGAAAGATTAAATCTGCTTTCAAATTGAAAATTTGAAAATTGGAAACCATAAGCTCTGGACTTATGGTGGTAAAATTCCCGCCCAACAGGCTAACCGACTACAGAGTTGAGAGAGTGATGGGGTGATGGCAGCACCCGCTGCTCACTTCAGATGGAGCGCTGCTGCTGTCGCCATTAAACCCTCCAACAGCACAAAAAAGTCTCCAGAAGGTCTGAGGAGTCACCAAATGTTGCATCGTAGACAGTCACTAAGTTGGTTTGAGTCTCTCCTGGAACTGTCCACTGTGTGAGGGGTTTGTTTTCACAGGGCTATTAGTTAAGGAATGTAATGATGAATGTTCTCATAAACCAGTCATTCATCAAGGTTCCTGTGAACACACAATGACAGGAATGCGTGTGTTTGTGTGTGAGCATGTGGGATTATGAGATTATTTTGTTCCTCACACGTTCTTTGTTGTGTCTTTGAACCAGATTATGTGCTAAGCCTTTGGGCTGTTGAGCTTCAGTTTGTCCGTTAGGGTTGGGTCAAACTCTGATGGCTGACCCGGTGGCCTCCACTGGTTCTGGTTTCTGTTCTGCTGTGGCAGCAGGCAGCATGCGCTAAGATAAAGTATATTTGTTACAGAGCTTTGATGCCAAGCTTCACATTCTGGGCCTGATTCACTAGAAGAGCAGATGACTTCTTAAACTCATTGACATATAGAGGAAGTTCAACAAAGAAGCTGCCGAATGACATTCATAAAAATCCAGCAGATAAAGGTTTAAATAGGCAATCTGATGAATTTGTGGTTTCCAAACGTTTCACTCTCCAGGTGACTGATCTTATATAATGTCAGTTTGAATAACGTCACCAACCTCTCAGTGTTTCAAAGAAATTATAAACTGACTCACAATGACTTTCACTTTGCATTGTTTTTAAATGCGTCATCAGGAAGCATAACTGACTCTGCCAAGCATTAATATGAAAACCAGGGAGCATCAGTGTCTGCTGTCCTAGTTTTCAGGTGTTGGTGAAATTAATTCTCCAGGCTTTCTGAAGGTCTGGGTTACAGTTCTTCAGAAACTGTTTACTTTGCAGGATCCATGATAGAAGGAGCTTTCTTACTGAGTTATGTGGGTTCAGAAAAAGTCTTAGCAAAATTAATTCAACAGATCCACATTTTTCGTGTCCCCCTGAAAACAACAAAGGAGAACAGAAAATGGAAAACAGATGGTTAAGCAGAAATGTGGTAGCAGTCCAGACAAACTGCAGTAAATATCTGTCCTGAAGAGTCTGTTTCAGCTTCAGACACAGCAGGAACAGACTGAAGCTGATCAATTAGACTCTGATTAAATAGATGACAAACCTTTTATGGAGATAAATGAACACTGGTATGTTTCAAAATATAGATGTTTTTCTTGCTAATTAAATATTTAGTTTGAAGTGAAGAATTTAGCTCAGAGCTTAATATTTTGGTAATATTCTAAATTCACTTGCCAATAAGTGGAAGTGAGCTTATTGGCAAATATTTAGCTTACCAAAGAAGTATTTAGTTTGGAGCTAAATATTTAGTTTGCTAATTAAACATTTAATTGAAACTGTGACATTTCAATTAAATGGGGTGTCTTGCCTCTCTCCCAGTAACCACAGGAGACTGGGACCAGTTGATCAATTCAACGAAGCTTCATGGGACAGTTGATGCTTTGCTGAATTTGACTGGGAAATAAAGTTTTTCTCTCAGGTTTTTAAGAAAACCTGCTCACCGTTCTGGCTTTCAAAGCTCATGTTTTTTAGTTCTCGTCATCGTCTGTTAGCGTGTTTGTGCAACAACCGCTCTTTCACTCTCTGTGGTCACACATTTCTGATTTTCATTGTACCTTAAAATCAACTGATATCAAACAAAAACATTCAGACAAACTGTTTCTCAACCCGCTCATGCAACCACTCTGAGCCTCGAGCATTCCGAGTTCAAGTCTGGTTTGTAAAAGCAAAGTAAGCATGACAGCACCATCTGCATATTTTCATTTTTAGTTTTTTAAGTTTATCTCTGCTTCTTAGAGAGAACTGTGGTTCCTAAACTGGAAAATAGATTTCATAGTCTCACCTGGATGAAATTCTGAGCACTGCAGCTGGTAACATTAATGAACATGAAATGTGATGTTAAAAGTCAAACTTCAGCAAATACGGAACTAAATGTGCCTTCAGATACATTTGCTGTGAGCTGGCACATTGGAGGGCAGCCATGCTGGACCTGGGCTGGAAGCTGTTTATTTTGTTGTATTTTTTACCTCGGGGTGATCAACTTTCTATTATTTCTATCTCAGTTTGATGCATCAGGACCTCCCACACTTCCTTATCTGTGCCCTCTGTTCCCCATATCTTTCCCAGTTTCTCATTAAAACAGTTTAATCTATTGTTATATTGTAACGTGTTTTTCTGAGCCATCTTTGAATGCAACTGGAGATTAAGATGTCTGCACCGTTTTTGCATCTTTAGGGCAGAAACTGAGACGTGTGCAGAATGTCTCAAGGCAGACGAGTCATGCCATGAGATGTTTGTGTGTCTCACGGCATGATTCGTCTGCCACTCATGCCTGTGTGTGGTCGAGTCATGGCAGAAAACGAGCAAAATGCAAAGACCATGGCAGATTTTTCCAAGCAAATCGAGTTGAGTGATGCTGCTGGATGCAGATAAAGTTAGCTAAACTAGCTAATCCAAGCTAAAATATCAGCTTAAACTTGTTATTTAGTAACTTTTTGTTAAAAAGGGTAATTAGGAGTAGTTTTACTACACTGTACAATTTACTTATTATTGCTACTCTTACCTGAGTAGACTGACTTTTTATTTAAAGAAATAAACTTCAGAGATGGGAAACATTAGTTTTTCTACATGTTGCTGTTTACGTCGTTATTGCTGATTTTGTATTATTAAATATGGTTATTTTATATGAACATTAGTTCATGTATTTATTTTAATGTAAAAGCCCGTTGACGGCCCAGCTAAAGTCCTCTGGAGCCGAGTCTGGCACCTGATCATTGGTAAGATCTGTAGAAACTAAACTCCTGAGAAAGTAAAACCATGAGCATTGCTGCTGGATGGGTTTGAACAGGTTCTGATCCAGTTTCCATGGAAAGCCTCATGGGAAAGTGACAGAATGCCAGTGATTAATCATCATTTATCTTAGATCTTCCTCCCAGACAGACTCTACCAGTTAAACAGCAAATAACACATGGATGTATGGTGAAATGTGTAACATGTTGTTTGAGATCATTTCTCTTGAATTCGGAGGATGTTTAAATTAAATGTAAGTTGTGTTTTGTGTGTGCGGTCCAGGTGAGATAGAGCTGGAACAGAAAGACCTCCGCTGGGTCGGGGCCTGGTGGCTGGGTTTCCTCGTCGCCTCCAGCTTCCTCTTCCTCACTGCTCTGCCGTACCTATTCTTCCCCAGAGAGATGCCCAAAGAGGTGAGTCAGGATCAGCTGACGAATCGTTCCACCGCCATTTCACCCCAGAACAGACACCGTTACTCACTGCAGCAGAACCTGGAATTACATGAAAAGTTACTTTACATGACACGAATGTTGGAGGTTAAGAATTATGTAAAAATTAGTGATGATTCTGTCTTCGTCTGCAGAGTGTAGAGATGAGAATCAGGACTTTTACATTAGGACATTTTTCATGATTTCCCCCATTTTCATTCCACTGTAAGTTACAGCGTGTTCAGCATCTCCATGTTTATCTTTGGTTTGTAGGGTGGGGGGTTGCCTCTCCACTGTTGCCTCTCCACTGTTGCCTCTCTTGTGTGACTCCTGAGTTTCCCTGTGATAAACTGGGGATCAGACCAGTCCAGGGTGGACCCAACCAGCAACTGTCTTCTGCTCATATGAGTTTGGTCCAGTCAGGTAACGGCTCCGGCTCAGACCTGAAGGAGATGCAGTATTCTGGGTTTTCCACCTAAGGGGCCATGACTGGAACACCTTCAGACTGATCTAGATCTGAACTGTCCCATGATGGATGACATAACTCCTCACCTTCTGAGTCCAGAGATCCTAGAGGAGCCAAACAGCTGTGAACCTCTGCAGGCCATGATGAAGCTTATGGCTTTAATCCACCTACAGAGCCAGACGTCTCCTCAAAGGAAGCAACCTTAAGAAAACCTCATCGTCATGATGACACCACTCCAGATGTGGTCCAGTCCAGGCAAAGTCCAACATGCACTGGGAACCAGTTCAACTACCAGCTGAGAATACAGACAGCTCCTGCTGCAGGTTCACAAGGACTGGAAGGTTGTCAAAGCAACCAGATACCCATCACTCCCACAGAATGAGGATCTGTGAGTCAACAGATCAACACTTGAGGAATTGGCCAGCTCAGCAGATCTCTGGTTGGGTTGATTCTGTTCAGGATGAAAGCTGCTCCGCTCCTTCTGGACCTCAGGTTCAATGCCTGGAGCCTGGACCGTTGGGTCCCATTGTCTGGTCCCTTGTAGCTAGGATTGCTTCTGTTGCTCCAGTTGCGACACTGAGAAGCGTGTTAACCACCGTGATCTGTTGCTGTCCAGAGGCGTCTGTCGCTCAAGGCTAATCCTGTTCCTCTGTGACTCAGTTGCTCACAATGAAAACAAGCACTGTGGCTCAACAACATGACGATTCCTGTAGCGCCTTATGTGTGTGATTAAAATGTTTGTGGGCAGACGTAGCTCCTGCAGACCACCAGTCAGATGTGTGAGCAGAGGGGATTCTTCACAGCTCTGGGAGGATTTTTCCAGAGGAAGTCGTTTCCTCGAACACAGTTTATGTGCAGGGGGCCGCCTGTGGTCCGCTGCGCCTGATGAAGATCTGCTGAGGTCAGTGAAATGGCCGAACAGAGGATCAGGTTTGTTGACAGAAGCCGGAGAAGAGGACAGAAGAGGAGGCAGGAATGTCATTAGATATGACTTAGTGGAGCTCAGTCCTGCTACAGCTTGTTGAGGTAAAGAGAGTTCAGCGAGTTTTGGCTCCGACCCATTTAGCAAGCAGCAGCATAAACATTATATAAACTGCACATTTTCAACTAAATGATGCAGCTGTGTTGGAGATTACGCAACAGAGTTCCAGTTTATAAAATACTTCAGTGAGTTCAGTGCAAAAAGACTTCCGCTGAAAAATAAGCAACAATTTTTACTTTCTGTTTCCTTCTGAAGCAAAACGTCCTGGAATCTGTATGAGAATGTGTTTATGCTTCCTGAGCCACAGAGGCAGCACAAACGAGACCCACTCATGTTCAATCGATCACAACATTAAAACAGGAAAATCCACAAGTACAACGTCTGAATTCTCAAATTAATCCACCAAAGATGGGCTGCGTCATTGACTATATGGGAATATAATTTACAGTGATGAATACACACATGGATTTATTTGTGAAACCTGTTCAGTCTAGTTCTCGGTCAAAGCAGACATAGCGAGAGAGCAATGGAAGGAAAATTATATTTTATAAGTTTAGTATTCAGCATTCAGCTCCATGTTGTGTAAATGTGGGTCAGATCAGCAGCATCAGGTTCTGACAACATGAAACCGGGTCAGGAAAGGTTCTGACTTAGACATGAGCCTCATTCTTCTGTAACGAAAAGAAGTCAAACTGAGAGTCAGTCAGTTTGTCTGGATTTGGACCTGGTGTTAATATTAAAAGTCAGAGACTTGGCTCTGACCCGGTGTTGTGCAACGACCTGACCGAGATCCAGCTGTTCAGGGCCAGCTGCAGAGTCGGCATAAATGCAGTGAATTTATGAATGCAGTGAACCGTTCATCTGGTTCCTCTCTATGCAGAATGCAGAGGGCGACCAGGAGTCCAGAACCGACATCGAGCCGCCGCCAATGACCGACCCCGTGAGGGATCTCACCCTGCTCCAGTTCCTTAAAAGTAAGACTCATTTTCCCTGATTCCACTTACTGTTTGACACCGCTGAGGCCACTCTGGGTCAGGATGGGTCAGGATGCTGACCGCCTGCTGCTGACCGTTTCCTGCTGACCGTTTGCTGTCTCAGAGCCAGGAGCTCTGCATCATAACCTTTGGCTCAGTCCCAGTAAACATGCAGAACACTCATGTTTACTGCGTGATGAACAATGAAAACATTCATCTGGAAAACGTTTTCCAGATGACTGACCTAAAAATGAAACCCGAAGTGTTTCCACGTCCCAACTGGTCCAAGCTGAAACTAAAACAGTTCCGATTCCCCAGGTTTCCCTCGCATCGCCCTGCGGACGCTGAGCGGGCCCATCTACCTGCTGGTGGTTCTGGCGCTGGTCAACATGGCAGCGCTGGTTTCCGGCCTCGCCACCTTCATGCCCAAGTTCATCGAGAAGCAGTTCAGTCAGACCATTCCCTTATCCAACATGATGATCGGTGAGAGCGCCGCAAACGCCAACGCTGTGACTCCAGATGGTTCTGAACTCAGCAGAACTCAGGATGTTCTAGTTATGGTTCTATGACTTTGTGTTTCTGTGTTTTGTGATGTGAAGCTCTTTGAGCTGCCATGTTGCTGAATGTTCTAGAATAGTAAACTCGATTTGCTGTAACTGGGCCTCCCTGCTTCAGGGGGAATCGGGATGCCGCTGGCGGTGCTGGGCGTGGTTCTAGGTGGAGCTCTGATGCGACGGTTCAACATGTCAGTCAGGGGCGCCAGCAAGCTGTGCACAGCGGCCATCTTGCTCTGCCTGATCTCCGCCCTGCCCATGATCTTCATCGGCTGCTCCACCCAGAAGGTCGCTGAGGTTTACCCTGACAGGTAACGCCTCCGTCCGCCTCCATCAGTGATTCATAACTCACAGCCAGTCTTTAGTCAGCCATGCTCAGGAGATTCTGTTGGACCTGGTTCTTTTTGGGGTTTGTTTTAAACTCCTCCACCAATGTGTGGTTCTGGTTCTGATCTCAGTTGGGCTGAATTGGTTTGTGTGTGTCCCCAGGAACAGTTCCCCAAAGTGCAGCGCTGGCTGTGGCTGTCCTCCTGACGCGTTCAATCCCATCTGCGGTTCCAATGGCGAGGAGTACAGGTCTCCGTGCCACGCCGGCTGTTTGAACAAAGTAATGGACGCAGACAACAAACCCACGGTGAGCTGAGTCTTCAGTCACTGAGTTGAATATGGATTCAGTAACTCCAGATTCACCCCGGACCAGCAGAACCATCAAATCACAGCCCAATCTGAGTCTCCTCCAGTCCATTACTTTGGTACTCCGTCCCAACTCACCCGTTGATCTCCTCTGGCTCAGTTGGTGCTTCCATGATGTTCTGATGATCTGCAGAGGTTTCTCCACCTGCACCATCAATTTCAGCCCTGCTGTGGAGCAGAAAATACCTCCACTACCTCTGCTTAGTGTTCAATAACTCATCCTGCACAGCCACAGCTACAGCAGTTGATAGGTTCAAACACAGCAAACAGCAAAATGATCCACAAATATTTGAACAATGCAAAGTCCAAAAAACAAAAACAAAAAACACCGCAGCATCAGGAAATACAAGCAAAAGGGAAAATCCTGCAAATGGCAAAAACAACTGCAAATATGAAATATGACATCCTCCAGACCTCTAGGGGGAGTCTGGAGTCTGTGATACTACCAGTGTAAATATGCTGATTTTCAGACTGCGTGTTTGAAAAGCATGACAAACCTTTTCTTTATTGAGGGTCGGGTCTCATATGATCTGCTGATCGACTCCCCCTGCTGGACTGGAGGACTTCCATTATGGAGGAACTTTTCAGCGTTTTATACTTGCAGCTGTTTTTACTGTAATCGCAGCGTTTTCCTCCAGGCTCCCATTTCCTTTGTTTGCAGCATTTTTCATGTGCATTCGTTTTTTGTGGTTTGGAGTTTGCATCATTCACATGTTTTCACCTGTTGGCCATACTGCCCTCTCAGCGGGGTGACCTGGGTCAGGCCATGCAAGCAGGTGGTCAGGTTCTGATCGTCTGTTATGCATTAATAATAATAACAATAATAATAATATGTTTTATTAAACAAAATAACCTAATACTACAAGCTGTATGATTTTAAGTTGTGATGTGAGGAGCTGCAGAGAGGAATAAAGGTGGATGGAGTGGATTGATATTCTTTGTTTTTTCTTTATATCAAATTCATATGATAAACAAGCGAGGACCAAACCTTGAAGAACAAGAAAGATGTTCTGTAAGATGGTGTCAAAGGTTGCTCAGAGTCGTTGGCAGATCATGATGGAAATGATTCTCATCCCAAATGTTTAACAGAACCTCTGGAGTAAACTGGATCACGTGTTTTGATTCTGTTTTCAGAGTTTTGAACTCCCAAAAAACTATTCTTTTCACATTGTTTTTAAAGTCTGATACCAGAGCTCAGGATGAGGAATGTTACCATGGAAACGGTGTCCTCAACATTATCCCGACCATCTGTCTGTTTCTATAGAACTTCACAAACTGTCGGTGCATCTATGACGGTTCTGGTTCGGCCCAGCCCGGGACCTGCGGCAGTGGCTGTTCCCACCTCCTGCTGCCCTTCATCATCCTGATGGGGATCACCAGCTTCATCATCTCCTTCACCCAGACGCCCTCCTACATGATGGTACTCAGGTAGGAGAGCCACAGCTGGCTTCCGGTTGGTTGGATGGTTTATTGGATGTATGTATGTATGTATGTATGTATGAATGTATGAATGAATATTTGACTGGCCGGTTGTTTGTTGAACCTGTCAGAACCAAAGATCAGGAAGGGAATCTGGTTGTTTTCCAGCAGCTCTGTCCTGTTCTGGCTCATCTGGAGCTTCACAAACCTCCCATTCCATTCCATGTTTCCCTTCCTCACAGCCAGAATTCCCTGCAGTCTTGAGTTTTAAAGCTTTTTATCTTGAATGGTTGACTGGAGAGATTAAGGATCAGGTCTGGAAGGAAATCACATAAAACTCTCTGGTTCATCCAGAGGAACTCACTGATATAGCAGATCCTGTTCTGGGATCTGTTTATCATGTTTGCGTTTGTTCTGCAGGACGGTTCCGCCTGAAGATAAGTCCTTTGCTGTAGGAGTTCAGTACATGCTGTTCAGAGTCCTCGGTGAGTGATGGCGGCCCATCAGAATCTCTTGCACATTCTGCTGTTGTTCTGCCATCCAGTAGAGAAACTGGCTCAGTTCTAAAGGGAACCAGCTGCTGCCAGATGTTTGTGGCCTTGTGAGCACTGGCGCCACCAGAAGATCAACTTGTGCAATGTTTTTGTCTGTGCAGCATTCCTGCCCGGCCCGGTTCTCTATGGCAGCATCATTGACACCACCTGCATCCTGTGGGGTGAGAAGTGCGGACAGCGGACTTCCTGTCTCTACTACAACCTGGACGGCTTCAGAAAGAGGTACCAGCTCCACCCACTGGTCATCCCAGGAACATTATTCACTTCCCAATAATCAGCTAAAAAAAATTTATTGGTATTACATTAACCAGGTTGGAAGGCCTCCGCACCATCACCCTAATCTTTAACATTTCTTGTTCATAACCAAACTCAGGTTGCTTATCCCCCTGATGGTCCAGTAGACCCGGTTCTACTGGAACCAAAACTTCATTATCTGTTCCACCTCCAGGTGCTGTGGTTCTCTTTCTCTCTGCTCTGAGTCAAATCAATCAAACCCTTTGAGCAACCTATTCCCCTCCTGGCCTGCGGGGGCGCTGCACCAAAAACCACTGAAGGAAATGACATATAAAACGTCCTTCTTCCTTCTTCTGACGCCTCCACTGGAAACTAAAATGGAGGCGTCAGATTTTAGCGGTTGGTGGATTTCTCTTTAGTCTTTAGCTAAAGACCACGAGCCATTTCTCCTGCTAGCGCTAGGCTAGCATGTTAGCTTTGGCCATATTTACCCAGAATGCCCTGCGCTGTAGTCCACTTCCTTCTTTTAGAGTGGCCTCCGGTCCACTTAGTGTTCACATTCAAACCGAACCAGAGTTCACTACAACCGAACCCAGGCCAAGGTTTATGGGACCAGAGGTCAGAGGTTGGTTAGCGTTCACACCTCAGCAACCGGATCTGACTTTTCTAGACACATGGACAGGAGTTGGGTTGAAGTGGAGATGCAGCCTGAATCCACCAAGGAGACCTGGGCTCAGTCCAAGTTTATCAGGTAGAAGTTCCGTATTGTTCACTCCAAAGTTCCCCAGAAGGTTAAAACAGTAACTCTTTTGTTTTAAATCATGTTCAGCTGAATCGTGCTGCCTTAGCAGGCCGTCCTTCCCCTCTTTCTGTCTCCCAGCAACCAGCACAGCTGAGCAAAGGTGCAATCTGGACAGGTGTGCTCTTTCCCTGAGCTGAGAGTCCCAGTCCAGTCATGAGCACAAGATGAAACAAACCCTTAATCTGCTCAGAAAATGATTTCATGTCTTTGAATAGTTCAAAAATCAGAGTGTCTGATTCCTCTGGTGATTCAGGGAACGGTGAACCTGTAGCACTTTCTTTGCCTCTATCACTTTCAGCTTCACGCCATCAGTCATTTCAAGTATTTCCCAGCAGTCAGAGTTGGCGTTAGGTAGTGACTGCAGCTCTGTGTGTGCAGGTTCCTGGGTCTGATGGTGGTGTTTGTCTGCGGAGCGCTGCTCTGCTTCCTGCTGACCATGGTCGCCCTGAGAAGACGAGCCGGAGCTTTCCAGCTGCCGCTCAGAACCAATGGACGCTACGAGATGGTGGGAGAGCAGAAAGCTCCGGAGAAAGAGCAGACGGCTCCGGAGAAAGAGCAGACGGCTCCGGAGAAAGAGCAGACCCCAATGAAGACCTGAAGAGAGGCAGCAGGAGGACAAGCAGGAAGTGCTCCTAACTGCAACAGGAAGTGCTCCTGACGGGAACAGGAAGCTGCCCACTGTTTCTTCTGGTGTTGGCATAAAGAGCCGGTCAGCCCTAACAAGACAGTGTTTTTATGTTTGTGCCTCTACTACTCTGCACCCTCTGCTAATGTTTGCTGTGAGTTTTTGTACACAAAATGTTTTTCTATGCAGATTTTTTTTTTTACCCATCCTGCGAAACCGGTGGGTTCTGCAGCATGACGCAGAACAAAGACAGAAAACTGATCTTTAAATGGTTTTTATGGGACTTTTCTTTGTGAATTACAGCGCAGCTTTCAAAGTGAACACAGAAACATCATGACAGAAAATTCCATGAGCAGTGAACTACAGTTCTGACCTGAACCCGGTTCATTATGTACATAAACCCAGACTCTGTCTGAAAGGCTGTTCCAGTTCATCCTCAAGTCAGACATCTCCTCTCTAACCTGACAACAGCTGCAGGGAAACTGAAATCACATCGACTTTAGACTGACTTCAGAAATCTGCTTTTAAGTAGCTGCGGTTCTGCTACCATCCACTAGGTGCTGCTCAAACGATCAGCGCTCTAAATGAAGAGGAAGATGAGGTGAACGACTGATGAAGACGTGTACCTGACTCTAAGAGAGGAACAATAATCGGTGAATTCTTCAGATCAGAGCAAACGTCCGGACTTTCCTGCTGCTGCTTCGTGTTTTCAGACGTTGAACCAAATTTCACGCTCAACGATCCTATTTTATATACCTCTACTACACATATAAAATGTATTTTTCTACAAGTGTGTTTAAGATTTTTGATTGAAACTTCTGGTCTTTTTGAAGAACAGAAACAGTGACTTCGTTAATGTGATTCAATGAAACGTATGTAAAACAAAGTACTAAAGTTTGTTTTATAAACTGTGTTTTTTAAGAGTAAAAATTGTTTTTGAGTTTTTTTCTGTCAGAGATTAAAACCAACAGAAAATATGTTGATGGAAAAAAGGTTGGATGATTGTCTGGATGTTTGGTTGGTTGGTTGTTTGTTTGTTTGTATATTTGGTTAGTTGTTTGGTTGACTGTTTGGTTGGATGTTTCATTGGTTGGTTGGTTGGATTATCTCCCTCAGGATTTCATCTCTCCATTGTTTTTCTCTCCCTTGCTCTCGCTCATTCAGCGTTCCTCTAATTCGTTTCTGGATTCTCCATCCTGATCCTCCTGATTTCTCACTTCCCATTTCTTTCAGTTCAGCTTCAGCTGATTCAGGAAGTTATGGTTGGACTTTTGTTCAATGTTTGTTGTGTAAAATTCTGTGATCCAGGCAGGAAGCGCTTAATTTCTGGAAGCTGGGTTGTCATCGGCGCTGTCATCATGCAACTCCACCTCCTCCATCTTTAGATGATCTCCTTCTTTGGAAACATTTTAATCTTCATCATGTCAGCAGATCAGCAGCTAATTCTGGTTTATCTGATTCATAGTTCAGTTTTTACTCATTTTACTTCCTGAAACTCATGGATTCTCTTCCTGGGGATGAAACTTGAACTATTCTCCTACACCACTGGTTCTGATCTGGTTCTGACAGTTCGGATCAGAACCTGATCAGAGTCTGAGGTTCTGAAGGAAGATTTTCCTGTTGGCAGGTAGACGATGGGTTTACCTGCATTCCTGCCAGACAGACTGGTTTAGACACAGAGCTGCTTACAGGAACATGGTGCAGGTCCAGACCCGCGGGCCTGGAACCAGTACCATTTATTCCTCAAATATTTAAACAGTCACTCACACACTTTCACTGTAAGTGATCTGTTTACACAGAACCTGATGGAAAAGACCAGAAACATGTGGAAGATGAAAACAAAACTCTTTCATTTAATTAATAATTAAGATGTAATATATTTATTTTAAGATTTAATATTTAAATGATGTTTTCGGTTTAGATACTTTTATTGCAGTTTTTCTGCCTTCAGCAGAACGATTATCATTAATTACTATTAGGATTGATCAGAAATGCTTAGACTTGTTGCGGTAGTTTTGATATTTTCCCAGCAGGCTGAGTGACATTCTGATTCTGGTTGAGGACAGAAAATGGGAAGTGCTGGTACCAATCCATGACCGGGTCCAGACCGAGAGAACCTGTATCTGTTTATAGGAAGGTTCTGCTGAACTGTGTGTGCAGCGATGCAGTAATCCAGTCATGAGTAATCATTTACGTAAAAGTGGAAAGTGGAAATTTGTTCAGCAACATGAGTCAGAACCAGAACCAGAGGTGAAAGGTTAAGCCGAGGTTCTGAGGAAGTCCAGGTTTCTCCTTCAGTCCAGACTTCGCTCTGCAGCAAAGAGACTATTTCCGTTTGGGTGAAATCAGGCAGACAACTGGAGATCATCTGCATGGAAGTGACCAGAGACAGACGGAGGCCCACAGCATGACTCCACCACCACCGTTCTCCACAGCTGGGATGAGACCGAATGTTTCTGGTTTCCTCCAACAGGAAGTCGGCAACACCGAGCGGTCAGCCCAACAGGAAGTCAGCTTCTCTCTCTGAGAGACGGCCGCTACACCGGCAGGATGATACCAGCAAAACTGTCCGGGCTGGTTCTGGTTCTGGTAGATCTGAGCCCCATGGACTCAGTTCAGACTCCACATATTCATTAAAACATGTGGAAACCATTTAAGTTTCTCAGCATCGTATTTTAGTGAAATGTTTAAAAGTAAAATTTTTCAAAACTGCCCCTATTTACCTGCTAAAATAATATAATATAAATTACATTTCAAAGGCATTTTTCCATCAGAGGATTGAAAAATATTAAAATCCAATTGTAATGGAAATGCATTAAAATGTTCTGGAAGTCAGCAAACAAATCAACCAGATTTAGTTTAAAAGACAGAGGAACAAAAATAAACATTTAACCCAAAAATAAACCACCAGGATAAATATTCTCTTTATTTTACATAAACATAGTTGATATTCTGAACTGATCAAATTAAAACCAGACCCAGAACAAAATGTTCAGGAAGCCTGAAGAGTTAAACTGCCCCCTACTGGACGGTATGGTGCAGGACAGTCCGGAGTTTCATATGTTCTGTGTTGATATAAAATCTGAAGATTTCTAACAACATAAATAAAGCTTATGGGTAAACTGGCTTTTAGTCCATCAGGCTGGAAGCTTTTCTTCCTCTGTTTTAACTTTCGGCTGAAGGCGGCTTGTTTATTTCTTCCAGGAAACATTTTGTTTTCAACACAAAATGTTTCATTGAAACTCAAACAGTTACAAAGATCGCCTCTTAGATTTTCTATCATTTTTATTATTTCAGCAGCTGAAAAGAGACGAAGGTTCAGAAGAAGAAAACAACATGAAAAGAAAACATAACAGAAACCAGATTTGTTCTGGTTTCTGGGTTCACAGGCTGCTTGTCTCCCTCTGGTGGAGACACAGGCACATCACATTCTGAGTACTGCAGTCATGACTAGAGGTGATAGAGGCTGGGATTTATTTAAATCTGCTGTTGGGTCGTAAACCTGCTGAAACTTCTTCAGTTGTTCATAAATCGGAGTCCTCTACTAATTCTGACCATCTGCATAAAGTTGGTCAAACTTTAACCCTAAACCCCGTGTCCAGTCACTCTGGCCTCTCATCACTGACATCATTCATTGTTCCCTCACCTCTGGTTCTGTCCCTGACAATTCAAAACCGTAAACATCACACCAATACTGAAAAAATCTGACTTAGTTCCTGCTAATCACTTCATACACACTTCCAACCGAAACGAGATCCCGACCGGATCATGTCCAACATCAGAAACACAACAAAACGTGTGCTGGAGTTTGTCATGTTTATTGTTATTAAAACAAATGACGATATTTGGTTTCTTACAAAACATTTCTTAATGTGGATTATTTCAGGAGTATTCTCAGATTAGCATGATCCATCTGTGTTTCAACATGAAAAATATGATCAAATGTCCTCGAACCATCTGCCATCACAAACAGCTGGAACCCCTCGTAGGACCTGCTAAGAGTGTGTGTGTGTGTGTGTGTGTGTGTGTGTGTGTGTGTGTGTGTGTGTGTGTGTGTTAAATTGTCAGGTCTTTGGGGTTGACCACCTTCCCGATGAACAGCAGTGCTCCTGACGGTTCATCTCGGATCAGGTAGACAAACGGTCGGTCCACTCGGTACGTCAGGTGGGAGGGCACTGAGACGGCGCTGGGGTACTGGGCTCCTTCGGGCGCCGTCTCCATGACAACCTTATGATTGATGCTGGTGAGCTTGGCCGACTGGACAGAGATCTTCTCCAGTTCTTGGTTGTCCAGCCAGTCATTAAGGCCTGCAGGAAGGAATGAGGAGAGTGAGAATCGACTGATGCTCCACGGTGTCCCACTAGGTCACCGCTGCCTCGCACCAACCAGACAGCTCTGCTTTTAAATGCTGGGAGCCAGTCAGCTGTGTGGCTGAATGTTCTGCTGGGTTCCCCAGATTCCTCCCAGTTTCACTGAATAGTCCTTTAACTTTCCCTCAGGACTGAATGTCCTGTGTCAGAGAACCAGTGACCTCCTCAGTCATGGACTGAGTGAAATGGAAGGTCTTTGCTCCTCTGGGTGACTCACCTAGGTCGCCAAGCAGCGGCAGCAGGTCGGTGGAGTAACTAAGCCTCAGGACAGGCAGCGTCAGGGACACCCGAGCCGGCTGCAGCGCCATAGAGAGGTCCTGAACGAACTCGGCCGTCAGACTCTCCTCCAGCAGCGTGGTGTTGGTCGTCACGACATCGGGCAGGAAGACAAACATGCTGATATCGTTCTGCATCTGGATCTGAGCAATCTGCAGGAGGAACCACAACATTCCTGAGATCTCTGCCAACAGCTCCTTGGCTCTACTGCTCACAACACTCACAGTGCAGCTCAGGTCAGAGTCCACACCCATCTTCACCGGGTAGTTATCCTGTTGCATCATGGGAACACGGACCGGAGCCCCGTTTTCCACCTGGAAGTCCTGCTGAACTCCGCCCTGACTGAAGCGGGTCACCCATCCCCCTGGTGGAGGAAAACCCAGATATGAGTCCGGTTCTGGCTGCTGTAACAGCCGGTGGCTGTCTCAGGGTCTGGCATTGGAACCGACAACCCTGCAGGGTCTGACCACCAAATGTCAGCAAGCATTAATACTGCTGCTGCTGATGTGAAATACTCTCCGTCTGCTCCTTCCCCCTGGTGGCCACTCCAGCTCACTGAAGATCTAATTATTTACATTCCTATCAATGATCTACGACGAAGTATCAGAGCCAGAATAAGACTAAAAAAAGTAACTACAAGAATACTCAAGATATTAGCAATGATGTAATATTACCAGAAAAAACAAAAAGGCATTCTGTGAAAAAGAAAGAAGCTGTTGACGACTTTATTGTCATATTACTATGACTTTATTCTGGTAATACTACAGCTTCATTCTTGTATTATTAAGACAGTGTTGTCGTACAGTTATCACTTTATCCCTGAACATTTGTCCTGCCTGTCTAACTGGTTCTGAACTTCTTGTCACCAGGATGTGAGTCCGGTCTGATCTTTACCAGCTGCAGGTTTAGACGTCTGTCAGAAACTCCTCCGTCTGTCACGTTTAAACACCAAACCAGGTTTTTCCTCTTCCTGCATGAACGGTCGATACCTTTGAAGTAGGCGGCGCTGATGGCGTTGATGCCGGCGGTTCGAGGGAGAGCCTTGGTCAGGAACTGTTGGACCTTCCTTCCCGTCTGCTGAGACACCCAATCGTTGATCTCCTTTGTGTCTTTGGCTCCGCCCAGCAGCGCCTTGGGGCGGACGCCATACTGCTGCTCCACCAGCTTGAAGAAGTCCTGCTTCAGACGGAGTCCTGGAAACCAAAGGAGTGACAGTCAGCATAGCTTTGTGTTTTTCAAGAAGATCTGAACTCTTTCAGTAAGTCAGAGACACCAGAACCTTTTAAACGATTTGGGTCGTAAACATGGACTCACGTCGCGTCACATAGAGCCGAGCGGCTGAGCTCAGGCCTTTGCCTGAGGAGTTCACCGAGGCCAGCAGGTTCTTCAGGGTGTTCTGGAGCTGGGGGTCCTGCAGGGTGTGGTACCGGAGAGCCCGGTACAGCTGCCTCTGGGCGTTCTCAGAGCCCCCTGCAGGACAGGAGGGGAAGTGCAGAGTCGCTGGTTATGACGATGCTTCAGAGGAGGAATAAGAAGACGGGGTGCCTGAAGGTTCCTGACTGAGTGGAACATCCAAAGCAAACTGGTTCAGGCCCAGTTAGAGCCAGTACACTCACCCATGGACAGCTGGGTCAGAACCGCAGACACGCTGATCGGAGACAGAAACAGGTTGGCCGAAGTTTCGCGGCTCGTCAAAGCCCGGAACAGGTTGTAGCCGAAGTCTGAGGTGGCGGCGCCCATCTTGGTGGCGGGCGTGGTAAAGAGCTCCACATGTTCCTCCTCCACGGCCGCCTCCTCACCTCCGGAGTCCGACTGCACAAAACCGGGACAGAACCATCAGAACGGACCGGCGCCACACCCAGCTCTGGCTTCACAGCTGGGTTTACTGAGTAGAACCAGAACTAAAGCCTGGAGGTGACGAATGTCTGTACTGGAACCAGCTCCACTGGAACCCCTCCCTCTCACCATGCACACACACACTTTCCCTCTCTACAGGACCTGGATCCCAGAGAAAACCTTCACATGCTCAGGGAGAACATGCAGCTCCATGCAGAAAGACCCAGACTGGGATCTGCAGGAAGCTGAAGACCCTGAAACACGAGGAGACGTTCTGTGGTTACCTGAGCCCAGCAGATGCTCAGGACGGCTGCCAACGCCAGCAGGAACGTTGTTCGCTTCATCCTGAAAAACAAACAAATGAACGCCATGATGCCATAATGCTGTGACGCCATGTCGCTGAAGAGACAGAAGAATCACATGACGTCCTATTCTGCCTCTCTCTCAGGTTGTCCTG